ACTACTTCTCTCTCTTTCTATCGATACTTCCCTATTTCCATCTTCCTCGTTCTCCGAACGCCGATAGGATTACTCCACATCCACGGATACGACGAGACGTCCAGGGAAAACGAGATGAAAGCACCGCGTAGGTAGCAATCCTCGCTCGAGGACATTTCACTGGAGCCGGCCACCGTTTTGTTTACGTTCCCTTTGACTCCGGCGCGACCTTCGCTCATTGAAACCTGGTTACCCGGGGTTAAGTGGCCGCGGAGAGTGGATTAGGAACCGCCGCTGGAACCTGCACCGACTACTCTTAATTGCGTTTCGGATTTTGGTCAACGGGGATTCCTGGGGAATTTCGGGGAATCGGGGAAAGGATGACTCGGAGATTTTTGCTGCAGCATCCGCGTTGTAATTTCCTTTCTTGGAATTGTTCGCTCGGTTTTTCATTTTTCTTGCGGGTGAACGAGTCATTGATATTGCGGTTCGTTTCCTGTATTAGTGGACAGTGAATTTTATGTTTCTACAGTTTCTTAGAAATTTTCTTTGAAGGTCTTTGATTTTTTGAATTTATTCTGGGGTAGTGCAGTGGAGAATCTTTTGTGTTTGGGAAAGATATTTGTTAAGTATGTTGCGAAGGAATTATTAGGTATTGTTACCTGTTAATGGATGTATAGGTTAATTACGGGGAGTATTTAGTTTCCCCGTCGATGAAACTGTGGCCGAACTTTGGCTAATTAAGGTTCTATTTGACAATGTTCGGGAAATACGATTCGAGTCTATGATTAAATACGTAGCTTAATTGTATATGGGATCATTTTGTAATAGCGCTCGGTAAATACCAAGTGGTAAAGGCCCACATGTGGTCAGACATGAACGGTAAGTACCTGAACAAATATACGAGCGCCAATATTCTACCAATAGTTACGGAGCAAACTATCGTAGATCGAGTAGAATAGGTTCGTTTGTGGCCAGACACCTGATAACGGTCGTAAACCTATACCCCTACGGAGAACGTCGCACACTAATGACTTGAAATCTCTGTTCCGAGCTTCTTCGTATCACTTAGACTCGAGTCATTATTTATCTCAATAGCGTGAAGTAAATTTAATTGTAAGTTAACAAATCACACGACGGAATTAATGTACAATTATATATTACACATAATTCCTGTATTACAAGAATTAATATCTTCATATACTTGCAACGAAACCCACGTTTACTCGGAAAATATAAAGGTTTCATTTCCAGTGAAAAAATCATCGAAGACTGCGTCGTTGAAATCGATGCAAATAATCCACTTAATGACGCAATAAATTCCAGTCTAAAGCGGTTGTCAGCTTCAGACAGCTTTAATAAACAATGCGCCCTCCGCGAGTTGATATTTTTCCAATAAAATATTGTTTGACAGACAATGTTTCAGACTACCAAACTGCTATTGACAGTTACAGCGTAATACGTACGGCACACGGAGAATTAAAACGATCGCTAGTTTGTAACGAAGAATATTTGCAATTGAATTTCACGCCGTTAATGTCACTCGATTATTAACCCTTTGCACTCGAGAGGTGCCTCTCACTCACCAATTGATTTCATACAGTGAAACTGTAAAATTTGATACTTAATATTAAACTTCGTGCAATGCATCAATTTGAGAAATATTCAAACAGAATAGCTTTGTCCATCGATGTAAGTGTGATTTCTCGTCGAGTTCGTTTCACAGAATATCCTCTCTATCTCATCAGGGAATATTCAAATATTTCTACTGGAAAACTTTCGAGTGCAATGGCTTAATATTGTACCTTGCATAATGCGTTAACTAGAAAAATATTCAAATAAAATAGCTTCGCTTCTCAATATGCGTATTTCTCTTTTAGTTAGTTTCACAAAGTGGCTTTATCTCATCAGGGAATGTTCAAATATTTCTACTGGATAAGTTCCGAGTGCAAAGGGTTAAGAGACAAAAGTGTCGGGGGAACATCGAACGATTCACTTACCGGTGACGACTACGTTAATCTTCTTAACCATCGGCGGATGCGTCGTGATTTGGCACTTGTACAGGCCGGAGTCCCTCGGGGACGCGTACTGTATCTGTAATCTCCAATTGCTCGGGTACCTGGGGGATCAAACAGACAGAAAATTTCATTCGCCGGTCGCGGCCGCCGCGAACGAGAGTGATTCACGTGAAAACGCTCGGAAAATCGAGTCACCCCCGTCTTCCGGCGTCTTACGTCGCCGCCTATCAGTCTACAAGAATGAAATCTGATTGATGGCTGCGTCGATTTCAATCTGGGAGCACCGGGTATGTACGCGTTGCATGGTTCAGTCAATTTTCTGATAATATCCTGTCCACTTATCTGGATTCACCGATTCTTTTCTATTCAAATATTATGAACTGCAGCTTGAATACTTTAATCGATACTTCTGGCAATTTAGAGTTAGAAACACTTTGCAATCACAGTTATATTAATGAAATATCCATAAAAATGCTGAACCTTCTAATTTACAGCAGACGATACTTTCTTCTTTGTGAATCAAGCATTCTTCTGTTATACAATAGAAATTTGATTAGTATTTCGGAGTAACTCTAAATTAGTGAAAGTATTAGTGAATATTCAACTTAGATTTCGCAATAGTTCGAATATACAAGGATTGATTTGTTTAGATAAGATTCTAGTAAAATTGCAAGAAACTCTACTCTAGATAAATCTCAATATCCAAATTTAGCATTTCTCCCTTACAGCAAACAAAATCTGTCGATCGAAAATCTCCTACCAAGCCGCTAAACGCCGAGTCCCCAAAAATCTCGATCTCTCCTCACGAAATCCCATGAAAAATACATGAACCGCTAAAGGAATCTCTAATCTAGCCAGCACCGAGATTAGACCGTCGAATCGCGATAGCAGCGTTAACCCCTTGCCATACTTTAACGAGCTTGACTCGTCATAAAAATTTTGGACCAAACGTAAATATCACGAGTCTGACTCGAGGTGACAACACGAGTGAAATATCGCTCGCTATAATTATGGCACGGATTTTGCCCGGTTAACCAGTTAAGTGTGGAAGTTAGTTTGAAAAATCTCTCATTGTGCGCGCAGTAAAATCAAATAATGAAGCGAATACTCGTTAAGTGCAGGTCAAATGCACTTAAAATATATCCTAACGAAAAACTAAAGCGAAACGAAGAAGAATTATGTTTGTCTCAAGAAATAAATAATCCTTCGTTGAAAAAGTTAGCACCATTAAGAGTTTCAAGATGACGCGTACACTCGTCAAACACAGTTAACTGGTTAAATGGTACGGCAAGGGGTTAAGGGTCGAATCTCAGCGCCGCGATCGAAATTCGCCGGATATCCTCACGGACCGGTTGCATTCCGTGGCATTCCTCTTACCGGAAGTTCAGGCTGATCCTCTGGTCGACGCTGTAGGTGGTCTTGCCGACGGTGAGCAGCCGGAACGAGTCCTCGGTGTGTTGTTGCAGCCAGGCCACCTGAATCGCGGAAAATATCCTTCGTTATTGCCTCGTAAATCACGGATTCCTCGAGCGGGGTCGGCGAGCAGGCGTCCCGGCCATTGTTCCCGGGAAAATTAAACGGGATCTCGTCGCGAAATTAATAATTTCACGGCCGGCGATCGGGAGGAGGCCGTTGGATCCCCGGACAAATGCTACCGGCAATAATTTCTCGTTTTCTCGTTCGGCGGAGGCCGGCTTACGTTTCCGGAGTCTCTTCGCTCGCTTTCTCGCCGCGTTTCTTGCGAGCGGATCGTTGATTTTCGCTCCCCGACCCTTGTCCCCGGTGCACGAGCCCGCGCCGTACGTGTCGAGTGTCGCGGCGGAGGGATAAAGACGTTCCCAGGCGTCGATGAGTTTGTCAAGCTTTGTCTACACCGGTTTCCGGCTCTATTGTGCGCGACTCGATAGGGTTTCAGGTGGGCATACCTATCGCTGTGCAGCTTTGACGCTAATCATTGATCCATTCGAATGGATCGATGGGTTATACTTGTTGACAGATCGATGGACGCTGGGCTCAGATGTTCCAACGGTCAGGTGGATTCAATAGAGGAGCTTTGTTTCTCATTGCACTTTTTCTGTTTATTTTCGGCGGGAATGTATCGATTGAAACTTTGTTGGACTGGGTTTTGCAGGGACAGAGGTGAAGTGAATCGAGTGCTTTGAGGCTGCTTTATATTGACAGTGGACTGCTGAAGCAATTGAATTTTCAACGGATTTTCGGAAATTTCGCGTAGTCTATTTAATGAAGGAGCGTTTACTATTAATCACAGTTAATTCTTCTTAACTGTTCAACTGGCTTCATCTTACAAGAATCACATCTAAGTTTCCCATAACGCTGTATTTTCGAAGCGCCTAACACAAAAATCTACATACGCTACCTACAATACCTCTGCCACGATAATTGGTCGTCCTCGTTATTCAATATCCCATGAAACAATTACGCGATTTTCGGAAACGTCGCATGGTCTAATGAAGTTGTTTACTATTAATCACGCAGTTAATTCTTAACTGATCAGCTACTGGCTTCATCTCACACGAAACACATCTAAGTTTCCCATAACGCCATATTTTCGAAGCACGCAACAAAAAAATCTACAGTCCTCTACCACGATAACTGATCGTCCTCGTTATTCAATATCCCATGAAACAATTACGCGAGCGTGGCGACGAAATATCGCGGCGCGTTCCCGTAACCGGAGTCAAATGATTCCGTCGAACGGTCGCGTCGTTGGATTTAATAGATCAAACGACGCGGGTCGCGCGACCGTCGACGATACGCCGGGACGTACCCGCTCGTTCGCCGGAATATGGCCGATAATAGCGCGGCCCGGTCGGGCGCGGCCTGTTACGCGACAGTTACGAGAACGATTCGCCGAATTATACCGAGCGGCGTTAAACGGCCGCCGTTTCATGCAAATGCCCGGCAGAATCTCCCGGATTTGTTAATTAATCGAGTGCGAATGGGCCGCGGCGACCATTTTAAATACAATACGTTACGCGATTAACCCCCTCGGACGAGACTGTACAATGGCCGCCGACCGGTTACCGTGCTCGCGATGAGATACACGCGGTGTTACACACTTCCATCGATCCGAACGTTGTTCGCGATTGCCTGTCGCTGAGGAATTGACTCGACCGGTGTGCGGTTTGTACACGGAATGTACTGGGTGTTTAATAATGCGCGCTTTCAGCTGCGGAGTGATTATTTCCAGTGGAACGGCTGGAGGAATCGCAGCGGAGGAATGAAATTTCACGTGGTGCGTCTTGTGAAAAATTGCGATTGGGAGACAAGTAAAATTGATCGGTATTTTTGTTGCTGTATACAAGTTACTGCACTGAAAGTAATCGCGGTGTTTTCATCTAATTTATTACTGTATTTAGTACCATGTTAAATTAATCGCTACATTTGCAAATATTCATTGCTCCGTAAAATGTATTGTTATACTCGCTACTAAAATTGATTACCGGTGGATCTAATCTGTTGGTATATTCGTTGCAATAACGCGTCTAATTCTCCGAAGCGTTCTACGCAAGAATGTCTAGTAAATCTAGACGAGACTTTAATCTTCCCCGCGCGATAATGGGACCTATAACAAACGCAAGGAACCAATTAGGACGGATCGTCCCATAAAACTGCGCATCTGCATAAACGTCCGGTCTAATAATAATGGAAATCACCGTGCAATTTAGAGCTCGTATAAACGGCACACGTCGCTGCTTAGGATCGGCCGGAGTGCTCGTAAAAGTTTGCATCAAACAAATTATCGAAACTTTCCTCGTCCCGGCGAGGCTCGAGTTTCAGCGCGCATCAACGGCCGCGACAGCTCCCCGGCCGCGGAACAAAGAAGTCCGACGTCGCGTTGTTTCGCGATTAAATTCGCGGCGACGCGGCAGCTCGCTTGATATTCCCGGTGTGTATCGACGCGCGGCTCGCCTCCTTTTCGTAGTTCGCCGTCGGAATCGGTTTCGCATTACGTATTCCGAGAATATGAATCCATCTGGAATCCCAAGCGGCTGCTTCGCTGCCTCGCTCGCTCTCTGTTTCTTTCCCGAGCGCGCGCGCGGAATTCAATGAAAACTGACGCTGATTACGGCGCGAAAACTTCCGCGACAGCCTCGATGAGTCCTGTTTGGGACAGGTCCTCTTTGCGTCGTTGCTTTCGCCGGGAATCGCCGCAGGGGCGTACTTTTCGGGGGAAACTGGAATATGATCTGGGTTATGATTTTGGGATCTTGTTTGAGGTGGGTCTCGTTACTGTTTTTGTGAGAGGATGAGGAGTTTTGCAGAGGAAGTTAGAATGGTGGATTTTTTAAAAGGCTGCTTAACACGTTGAATACCGCACGATTTCATGGTACAAAATACTTGAAATGGAAAAAATATAATATTAAATCATTCGATTGAATTGCATTGTTATTACTGCAGGTTTAGCTAGCTGAATGTTACCACGTTAGTTAGCATTATTTATAATATACAAATGTTTTCAAATAATCATGGTTTAATTCAGTGAGCTATGGTAATTCGATTTGGCTGGGGGTCACCGGTGACCCCTATGGCATTCAACGTGTTAAGATGAGTCTTGTCTTATTGTTTTTGTGGGAGGATGACGAGTTCTACAGAGGATATTAGTAGATTTTTTAAATTTGCTTGAGATGAGTTCTATCTTATTATTTTCGTGGGAGGATGAAGAGTTTGATGTTTTATGGAATTTGTGATGGAGGTTTAGAGATTTTTTTTACGAAAAGGTGAGTTTGAGGTTTTTCAGAAGAAATCAGAATGATGTGTCTAATGAATATTCTTGATTAACATGAATATTTGAGGTAGATTTTGAAGAAATTGTTTTGTGAAAGTTTGCAATCTTTAAGGTGGTGGTAGGAAGCACGATTATCTGGTTCTATAGTTAGAGAATTAGAAATTAGAATTTAATTAAAGGAGAAGATTCCGCGAGCAGCGTTACCAGAGTCACAGGGCGACAAAATTTAAAGGCGAGATCGTAATCAGAGCGTTCGACTCGGCCGCATCAATATCAATATCGTTAATTGAACGAAACCGAATATTCCAGTCACCGGGGAACGCAGGAAATCGTAACTTACGACCTCATCCATCATCGTTACACTACACTCCAGTTTTCCTTCTGAACGCGTTAAAAAGCGTCGCTGACAGTCGCTGGAATCACGCGGAACCGCGAGTCTACCATTTCCCGTGACACCGGCTCGTATGTCATTAATTAGTTGCAGTAAGACTTCTCGCGAACTTCGTGGAATTTGAAAAATCATCCATCAACGACTACATGCAAGCTTCTGAATACATCCTTCAATTTTAGTAACAAGTTAATCCCACGAACAGTCGAAAGAAACAAAGAGCTCATTTAGAAAGAAAATTAATCTCCCGCAACGTGAAATCCGACATTTAGCATTAGGTTTCATCGAACATTGTAATAAAAAGTAAATTGTCCGAACACTAGAGCTACCGAGTAGTAGGACAGAGCTATTCATAATTTGCCATCAAAATTAGGAAGGCAGATTTTTTGAGATTCGAAGAGCTTCCTATCGCTGCACTTGCACAAATGAATTTACTTTGAAGTTTCTCACGAAAGCATCTATATCATCTTAATAGCGATACAAGAATCTTAAAATCAGTCACTTTAACCCGTCTTATATCTAATGCTGATAAATGCAACATTCTTCTATATAGTTGCCAAATATATCACGGACATTTCATTATAAAATGAATAGTCAAAGAGAGAAGTATTGACATATACAAAGGATTAATAAAGGATCCCTGAGTCACTGTAACAGAAATCAAGGAGGCAGTGGCGACGACCTCAATAAAGAGGAAACAAAAGCACAACAGTTTTCTTTATCCTCGAAGAACTATCGAGTTGCGGAGGAAAGGTGGTAGAACCAAAGCAAGTTCTCACCTCGCGCTTCATCATTGCAAGACCTTTTTATCGCGCGGCGCGGAGATCATAAAAATATAACAAGACCATCGCAGCCGGTTTTTCATCATGTCATCGTCCATCCTATTTTCCGAGGCTGCGTCAGACGCCGCCTCGTAAAAGCGGCGGAATAATACACGCGGGCCGAAAGGGGCCGGGACACGGACGAAAAACGAAAAAATACTATAAACTTCCGCGCTGCGACAAAGAAACCGCCTCCCTTTCCTCCGTCGCCGGCCGCGTTTTGCTTGAAACGGAACGGCTGGCGACACGGTGATTGAATATTCTCCGCGGGATGGAACACGCCCGCCTTGGACCGTGCGCGAAACAAACATGGCGAACGTTTTAAGTGTCCCCGGGAAAAGATCTCTGAGTGCGCATTCATTTTGTAATATCGCGAGCTCTCGGGGAGAAGAATCCGAAACGAATCCAATTCCGCGGCTCCTTTTGTGGATCGAGTCTCTTGGAGATCTAGGAACTGTTAGCTTCGCTTTCTTCGGCTCTTTCTGTTCTAGTACTCTGTTCCACTCTGATATTCACTTAGCTGGTTTAGTGATAAGCTTGATCAACGAAAATGGAAACTCGAAGGAAGTAGCAAGGAACGAAATCTCACGAGAAACTCGATTCTCACACGATTTCCCTATATTCAATTACCAATAAATCTCATATACAATATAAAAGCTTAAACAAGCCATCAACGAAACAATTTCACCTTTCCATCCCTCAATCGTAAAATCCAGAGAAGCAAAGTGCCAGCTCACCTCTTTATCCCCAAGCATTCCGATCCTGCAATCCAGCAGCATGGTGCTGCCGATCCTGGCAGTGATATTCGTATCGCGATCGCCGTCCTCGAAATACGGGCCGAACTTGCCAAAGGCGCTGTCCACGGTAGGCAACACGAACTTCCTCCCGGGCAGTGTCCTAACGGTGCTAGCCGCCGCGTACAGGTGATCGTTCTCGGCGTCCGTCCTGACCGACGGCTTGATCTCGTAGAAACCCTTGGTTGACTTGCCGGAGCCAGCGTGCAGGTGATTGTTCACCCGTCTGGGATGATCCTTCCTCGCCTCCTTGCGGAGCTCTTGATCCCCTTGCTTGTCGAACTGATCAGCAGGCGGAGGCACTGGGAACGAGATCGCCCTGATGTCCTCCATGTTCCTCTGCTCGATCGGCCTGGCCTCCGTAGCGATCCCCGATATCCAGGTCACCATGCCGTCCAGGTACTCCCTGTTATGGGGTTCCAGCACCGACTCCACCATCCCCTCCTCGTCACCCTGCGCCACGACGTTCGACAGACCCTCGTCGTCCACCGGGACGTCGTCCAGCTCGCTCCTCCAGGGGACCTGGAACTGGTCCTCTTCCCAGGGACCGACGCTGGAGGCGCTCTCCGCGCGAGTAGGCTCGCCGGGATAGTCCCTGGACGCGTCCAGCACCTTGTACCTGGAGCTGTTGTGGTCCAGAGTCCTTCCCGCGGGATCCTCGTGTCCATCTTGCCAAACTTCGCTGGGGGGGATCGGGTTCGACGCTGAATTCTCGTCGAATTGCGCCGCTGCGATCGACTCCGCGTCGATCGAGTCGTTCACTGGCTCCTCGGGGTTCGCTGGATCGCGGAGGGACAGGATTGATACCGTGATCTCGTTCGACGTGCTGTTCGAGAGGTTCTCTGGCGGAACGATGGATATGAAGGTGATGTTGCTGGGAGTTCGGGGCTCTTCGCCAGCGCGTCGCTCTTCTTCGAGTAGGGGGTGCTCGGTGGCGTCGCTGAAGGTTTCTGCGACAGAGAAAGGGGACTGGTTAGTTTCGAGTAGATCTTAGTGCTTCGACGTGTTTATTCGGTAGCGACTGTGTAGTACATTGATTAGGGAGAGTAGATTAATTGAACAGTTACTCTATACGCGAGTGATTCGATCGTTTGAAGCTTCGGTAACAAGAGCATCAATTTTCAAATGTGGGAATCATTGATTATTAGCTCCCATTGAACTCCTGAATCCCTACAGAAAGCACCATAGCTCCGCATTCAAGATTCAGCGTATCTATCCACACGCCACGTTTCCTACGCGTCTCCCTCATAGAACAAAATTCCGCAGCCGCGCCCCCATTGACTCAAGACACCGAAGAACCCTGCAATTCGCAAGAAGCACATCAAAACGCTCTCTTTCGAGCGTAGGCGATCCAAAGCTTTTGTTCGTGTATACTTCCGGAGTTACGCGCGTTGCCAGCGAATACCTGCGCCAGGATTTCTTCGACAGCTATACGCGCACCACCCTCTGTCGATGCATCTTTTAGTACCCATCGGAAAGTGACGTTTTATCATCGCGCGAAAGCGGCCCGGTCTCTTTGTCTCTCTTGCGTGCTCCTACTCTTACATTCTCACGCTCTTCCTATACTTTTTCTCTATCATTCCTCCTTTTCCTATTCTTTTCTCACTTACTTCCCCCTATTCGCCTCAGCGATTCATACAGAACCCAGAATCCGCAGGCAAGGCGCCTTCGATCTGACCATTCAGACGAAAGTGCCAAGTTCCCTGCAACGGACGTTACTTTATAGCGGTCGATCGACTGACCCTTCGTTACCGATCTTTATTTGTTGACGTTGTAAGAGCCGACTCTTGTGCGTTAGCGTTATTTGTCAGAAACCGATACAGAGCGAAATTGAGACGCAGGAGCGATTCCCGACATCGGCGCGGCGCGTTCTTTCATCCGAACTTTCAAACAGGACACGTGCGGAGTCCTTCAAGGCGCAAGCGTTAACCCTTTGCACTCGAAAGCTTTTGACTGGAAATATTCAAGATTTTCCGACGAGATATAGTCGACGTTTGAAACTGGTTTTGATAATAATTCACAGATAAATTAAGCAATAAAGTTATTTTATTTAAATGTTTCACATAGCAATACAAAGTTTAATTTAAAATACTAAATCTTCAACGTCATAGTTTCGCTGTATCAAGTAAAGCGGTGGCTGAGAGTCACCTCTCGAGTGCAAGGGGTTAATAGTTCTGTCGGTAGCCGACATACAGCCCGGAAAATTGGGACACTTAAAAAGAGAGGCGACCTTCGATCGCCACGCATTCCGAAGTCCCTCGTCAGTCTCGTTCCATTGAAGACCAGCCCAGTCGTTTTAACAAGCTAAAGAATCATCGCGCAGTGTATTTCCGTCGGAGGAAAACCATCCTGACCCTTCCGAACTTCCGCTTACATCTTTATCTCACTCCTCTCGCCTTTCAACGTCTTTCTGACTCTGTCCACATACATTACACTTCCGTCTCATTCTTTCTTCTCCATTTTTCTCTAACTCGTTCCATCTCGACCCGTTCTTCTCTCTCTCTCGACCCACGTATCCATCGTTCCCCTTCTATCTCTGGCTCGTGGCGTATCACGGCTCGGCACGAGCGTAGATAACAAGCGGAGCGTAGTATCGTGGCCCTCCGGCTTCACACTTTTCAGGACTTCCAAGAGAAATACGCGTCATTTGTAATTTTACGTCGAACAGGATCTCTCGAGCGATATACCGTTAGCTATCTCCGCCGCTCTCCCTGCTGCGCGGCCCGTTCCTCTATCCGTCTCACTATCTCTCCGCTCTTCTCTTCGGCCGAGCGCGGAAAATAGGTTGAAGGTATCGACTCCGGTACTCCTTTCTTTTTCCTCTCCCCCCGTTTCCCCTCGGCCGCGGAACACGTACCGGCGATTTGTTCGCCTCGCCTCGGATCTGCACACTTTATTTCTCTTTTGATCCTGTTCCGCCGGTTTCGACGATACTGTTTGCGCACCTTATAAAAATTGTAGTGTTTCGAGTTCCCGTTGAAACGGGGCCGCCGTTTTGGTGTTTCAAGGGGAACGGTATCCGTGGTATTATTCCTGAGACGCCGTCGACGAGCCAATAGCGCTAAGTGCTGACACGGCCGGGAGGGGAACGGTTTCCGCGAGACTGAATCTATCGGTGGAATGATACGAGCTCCGTCGTTTTTATTAGTGGAACAGAGGGTGTAACTGCTTGCTCGCTCGAGGGTGTGTAATGGGAATGGCTATGTACCTCTTATTTGAATGGAGTTTCTGTTTTCCCGTTCGAGCGTTTATTCGGTAATATTCTTTAGTTGGAAACCTTTAAGCTCTCTAAGTTTCTCGTGAGTAGTTGCAGAAATCACACTTATCGATCGTCGCAATAATTCTTCACCTTTCTACCGATACTATTATAGTGTTACTATAGCATAGATAATGAAAGAGTGGATCTTGAGTAATCGAGAACTAGAAATAAATATAGATATATGTAACCTCTTAACCTACGCTAAAAATTCTAGATACTACACTATTTCCTTCCTCGAAAAATGAAAGGCAGCTGAACATCTTGTTCCCTAGCACATCGAGAACTATGACCACCCTTATAAAGACCCTTCGCGTGAAGACCGTATTGGACGCGTTCAGTCGGCGACATTTCAAATGAAATTCTCGCGGTGTTATTTTTCTCCGGAAGAGAGGGCGGAGGATTCGGTGCACGCAAGGTCTCCGGACAAAGAAATTAGGTAGTGGCATTGTTACCGCGCGTTGGTCGGCGTCTGGAATTTTTCTGGGCGCAGTAGATATTTCGTTCCGGCCGGACATTCCAGCCGCTCCCGGAGGAATGCAACGAAATTTTAATCCGCGTTATAATTTCTCCGGCAAATGGCGCGGGTTTCGCGCCCGAATAAGGCCATCGTTGGCCAAACATACGGAAAGAATGCGGAATGAGCCGAGACACTCGTTTACAACGGTTTTTCGGCCGATTTATGCGACATTTTGTCAGCGTTCCTTTGACTTTTATTTCCCCCGGCGTTCGTGCTTGTGGTCCTCTTGGTAATAATCGTTTGAGAAAAGTGATATTGTTATTAAAAACGAGGTAAAATAATGTCGAGACGTGGAAATGAAAGGTTTGACAGGAGTCGAGTGGTATAAGTCTGTATTTGATCAGACAGCTCTCTTTATATTATCTAAAGTATTTCTGCTATAATAATTATAATCGTTAATTGTGCAGATCAATGTCCTATTTTTATGTCGATTATATTTGTATTAACTTCGTAGTTCACGCGAGTGCACACAGGTTTAATAATAGAGATTTATTTGTGCAGATTATCTCTGTTAAACGATATGTGAGTAGTAGTGGCCCATATATAGCGTGCCATGAAGATAAACCTAATAATAGACATTTATTTGCAGGTTATGTGTCTGGTAAGCTAAATATAATTAGTATCGAACGGTGTGTGGCCAGACACTCGCGGTGAACATAATTATAGCAATTGAATAATTTATAGATTCTATATTTGGCGATTATTCAAACTCCATTATTTTCCATTACGTTCATCAGCAATACTAAGTATTAATATTTCCTCATACGATTGTATAATCGCCAAGTAATTTTACCAAGCAACTTCTCACGTTAGCCAACTTTCGTCCAGAGCAATTAAAGGAAAATGAATCGATAGAATGTCCGCCACTTCTGGCAAACTCTGAATCACGATATCATCGACCCAGAGTTCCCGAAACCATAAGCCAGAGTTTCCGGAGCCCGTTTCAAGCGGTGTTAACGCGTCAGCGATATCCGTTCGCATAAACAGGCTGTCGTTTGCCAAATATCGCGTCGAACGTCTGTTCGTTCAGACGCGTCCCATTCTGCCAAGAAATTTACAGGAGAAAAATCATTACATTCTACGAATATAACAGAATTACATAAGAATGTAACAATTATATTATACCATAGCAATATAATAATTAATAGTCCACAATTATAAAAAGTCTGTGATACTCTTGTCTTCACAGAATATAATAATTCTAAGAAGTCTATTTTTATACTCATAATTATTACATAATTCATACAATTCACAGAAATGTGTGAAATCATTTTCTCCGAAATTTCCTGCATTTGCCACAGCATCGACAGCAAAGTATTCACTGAAAGGGTTCAGGAACGAAACCTTAAGCGAAGCATCCAGGGACGAATAAAAAGGTGTATTTAGATGCTACTGTTGCACGTGAAACTCGAGGATTTCGTCTAATTAAAAGCGCGCAAGGAAACACTCGACGCTGCAGTGTTTTTCTGTCGCCGGGTGAACTCGATCCCGGCGAGGACATCGTTTAACTCTTAACTCGGCAAAGCGTGGCTTCCATAAACTTTTCCCTCGCGCGGCAATACTTCGGGAGGAAAATAAATACCGCGAGCTTCATCTTCCGAAGCGTTTAAGAAAACGTTGGCCGGTGTATCAAGACGAGTGGCGCGCAGTTAACGTTTCACTCGTAACGAGCGCAGCCGGTTTATCAATGCGATTCCGTTCCGAGTTAATTGAAGAAAAGCGGCGAGCTCGTTTCTTAATTGTTATTAATGTAACAGCGGGTCGCGCGCACGGAATTAGTTGTCCGGGGCGTAACAATGCTCGTTCGTTCGAGTAAATCGCTAATTATGTTGAATGAGTAATTATCGAACACCGGTATCTGCATATAATTTACTTGATGTTCGTTAATTAATAGTTGTCGCGGCGCGATGCGCATAATGCGTATACTTCGGCGACTCGCACGCTTTGTTAATTACACTGGAATGCTTAATAAAGGTGGTAATTGACTGAAGAGGAATGTGATCAGATCGAGTTTGTTTAAGGGGAATTCTAATCTCATCTGCAGCGGGAATTCGCAATTTGTAGCGTCGGAATTAAAGGTAATACTAAAGTTTCATATTTCCAAGTCGAAATTTTTAACCTCAATTCTTGAAATTTCACTGGAACTGTAGCTCCGAATGATAATTAAATAACAATAGAATATATAATACTACAATTCCACGCGAGATACTGACCTAAATCAAATTTCCAAGCACTACAAATATTCCATACGAAAAACCAATATTTCCTCACCGAATGGAAGCTTCGAAAAGCCGAATAAATTCGATTGTTTTAACACTAGATTTATCGAACGAGCCAATTCGACTTATATTGGATTCTATAAACATTATTTGCCAAATGTTTCGACCGATTTCGACTGATGCAGTTACGCGAATATCAATAATCCACGTTCGAGCCTCCTGTCTGCAGGATCCGAACGAACGACTATTCTTCTAGAGTCGATAAAACAAATTGTACGATAAATCTCCGCGAATCCAGCGTTAATCAAGGGACATCTCAATCTTTGCAACGCGAACCAATAAACATCTCACGCGACCGCAGCGAATGATATCCGCCGAAGGATAAATCTGCCAGCAGAAAAACAAGTCTCCAGACTGTCCCGACATGATTTCGCGGATCGAGGCGATCAATTCCACGCGGCCATTGTCTAAGCCGTACCTCCGTTCGCTCCCGTGTCCATTCTTTTCTTTCGAGCCGATTGAAATTCTAATGCGAACTCGAGGCCGCCTCGACATCGGTTCCCACGGCCGCGACATAACTTCCACTTTGCTCTCGTTCTATTTACCCGGCCGCCCTGCCCCCGGCGCGCTCGGTTTATTTATTTTTAACGAACCGCAACGCTCGCCCGGCAGCCGCCGTATTCACCGATTCGATCCGCCGAAATTCCATTCCAGCCGACTAAAAACCGCGCCGCATAAAACAAAGCAAACAGATTCGCCGCGTAATTTCCATCTGAGCCGGTTACGCGATCGATCACGGAACTTCCGCGGACATCCGGTAACAAAATAACGCCGCCTTCGTCCGACGAGCGCGCCGACCCGTTCCTTCGTCCCCACATTTTTCCCCCATAGAAACCGCATTCCCAATTTCGGAACTTTTAACGACGCAACTTCAATTCCGCGCGCTTTCGTTTAATAAATTGAAAACCGACGGAAAAAATCACGCTCTCTCGCGTGTTCTCGGCGCGGTCTCTTTCCCCCGCGGTCCCTCTCGGTTCCCCTCGCCGCCCGGCGTTAACGTGCAAGTTCACGCACGGCGGGGAGACCGAAAACTCGTCGTAAACGCGCGCACTCCGAGCAACGCTCGCGTTTGCCGCAACAGAACTCCGGAGATTAAGCTGCAGAGGCCGACGCCCGACGTCGGCGCAAAAAGGGGACGGGTGAAGGGGCGCGGGCAAAAAAGTTGCGCTAATTTAGCCAGTAATTACGGGCCGAAGCGCGAGCGCGATCGGTCACGTAACTTCGCTTAATTGTGGAGCGCCGCTCATCGATCATAATTTACGGATCGCCGTTGTCGGCTTCGCGGGACGTGACCGCCGACGGATTCCGCGGATTACCGTCGCGGACGACCGTTCCGCGGTCGACGACGACGGTTCTCCCGGTTCTTCTATTTTCCCCTCTCGTTCGCCTCCTCTTTTCCGCTGTTTCGCGTCCCGGCGCTGGTTTCGCTGCTCGTTTTTGTTTGCGCGCGGCCGAAACTTCGCGGCGCGGCTCGGATGAACATTTTTGCGCCGGCGAACAATGGGCGAGCCCGAATCCCATTGAGACGCGGCGGGTATTTAAGACACTACAGTTTTCGAGGATTGCAAATTAATTTCCTCGGCGGCGAGGAAAGCTTCCCTTGTCGCTGCGGAGTAATTATGGCTCGGCGAGCCGCGAGCTCGCGGAACTTCGTTTGGATTTCGCCGGGATTTTTCGGGATCCGCGTTTTGTGACTCGCGACGTTTGGGAAGCGTGTGCGGATTGCATGGGCTTTGAATGAATGTCGCGAGGGAGTGCGTTGGACGGAAGTGATTTGCAGCCGAGAGTTCTTCGGTTGAGATTTTCAACGTTACCTGATGACGTGTAGATGATATCGGTGGAAACTTTAACCAGTTAACTGTGGAATTTAGTTGGAAAAACCTCTTGTTCTGCACGCAGGACGAATGCACGTAGAGTATATTTTAATGAAAGATCAAAGCGAAACAAAGATGGATTACATGTTTATGTGAAAAAATAAAGAATTAATCGCTGAAAGAATTGGTATCGTGTCAAGCTTCACGATGACGCGTATACTCGTCAAACACAGTTAACTGGTTAAGAATGACACGTGAATTAAGGAACAAGGTTATTTGATTTGAATATTTTATGGTTTATAGTTTCACTGCGTGAAATCAAATGGCGACAGTCAACTGTCGACTGCGAAGGGCTGATCCAAAGGAATCTCAATTTCACCTAGAGAAAAATATAGAACATAGCAGCAATGTATATATAGAACCTATAAAGTTTTACGTATAAAATCGCGTACACCGAACATCAGCCACGTAAATCCTTTGCACGCGAATTTCACGAGTAAATCAAAGAAAATTGATCCGAAGTGAAATAGGGGAAAAGTACGAAGATGCGAAATGAAGTGCCAAAGGGTTGAAAGGGTTGAATAAACGATTGAAGCGCGCGACGAAGAGCGAGCCCGCAGAGCAAACGTTTTCCCAGCGATGCATTTCTGTCGCCTCCGTCACAGGACATCGATTTTCGACCGCGGGCCCGATTGATCTTCGGCGCGCGTGTTGTTTGCGCGTAAACGAATTTCGGAGATTATTTCCGGCCGGTCGGCCGCGTCATAAAAAGCGGCGAACTGTGAT